CATTCCCTTAATTTTACCTCCCTTTCCTGTTTTGCACTTCGACATTTCCGAAATTCGGTACTTCGGCAATTTGGTTCGGCACTTCGGAAATTTGGAAGCATCCAAATTGCCGAAATTCATGCGAATTTAAATTCGGACTGAAACGAATTGCACATATCTATTAATCACTGTAAAATTGGGCGATCTGGGAGGTAAAACACAAACTGTGGCATCCTGTGGGAAGAGCCACAAAGAATTCTGGGCGGTCGGCCTCTCCAGATGATGAAAGCTTTATCACACTTCTTACAGTCCTTAGTGCCTGTTTGTGGTTCAGACCTTGTTGGACTGTTCTGAGTGCTGTTCCTTGTATGTGCTTGTTCCTGGCTGTTACTGATCATCCCTTGTCTGCTGCCTGCCCTGACCTTTGATGGTTTAATATTACACTGATTTCTGGTTCCCTGACTGTGTCCTGTAACTGGTTTTGCTACACCATTTAAAGGGGTCTTTCATTACATGTTAACCCAAACCATTCTAAGGTATGGTAATAATTCTATCTCTTTGCTTACAAATGCCATTAGGGATTCACTTTGATCTATTATTATGTTTATCCTAACAAATACCCAAATTAAATGAAAAATACAAAATAATATTGCCAGCAGATGGTCTATACCATTATCAGGAAATACCAAGAAACATCCCTGAAAATCGAGCAAAATGTGAATACAAATTTAAAGATATTGTTCTCAGTGTGGCCACATGGATGCAGTAGAGAGTGGAAGATACTTCAAATAGTTCTTCACCCATTGATTTATGTTTTAGAAAGAAAGGAAATGGGAGAGACTATAACAAAAAGCTAAAATTGTAAATCTGAATAACTACCATATTCAGAATGGAGTCTTCCAGATTGCATGCTCCGAGAGCTCCAGCAATCTTACAAATCTTTTAAGGTTTTACGCCACTCTAAGCATGAAGACCAGGTTCAGGGGACAAACTGTTAACAACAATGATAGAAATCTGAAAACATTAAATGAAGGATTTGAGACGTACATTGCTGGTTATGTTTACAGCTTCACTCTGTTGAATGTTCTAGTGATGGACCAAAACCAGAGATGAGAAAGAATAACGAGAGCTGTGGGACCCACCACAAGCAGCAAACAGGACCTCACCTGGGGCACCCCACCTTACCAACCAACTACATCTGGAAACAGGAATGGAGGAATAATGTTTATTATTACAATAGATTGTCAATGCTGAGATATTGTACCAACACCTGGTAATCTAATAAATTTTGGGTTATCCATGTGATGAAAAATAAGAAAAATAAAATTGAGGTAAGGTAGGCAGCGGCCCAACCCCTCTGAGGAGAGAACATGTAACACCAAGAAATACAGGAAAAGGGCTGCGCCAATAGTTAAAACGACGAACTATTGTACCTTTAAACTATTGGCGCAGCCCTTTTCCTGTATTTCTTTATCCATGTGATGAGTAGACGGCCAGCTCAGAGGTATTTTAATCGCGGATAACGTATAATTTCACAGGATGAACTGTGGTTTTTAGTTACAGAAAGTCAACGCATTAACCACAGTCTCGGCAGAAACTCCTGGTGGGTCTCTCCAGTTCTCATTAAATCAGACATAATCCTCGAGAACACTCCGTATCCAAAAACAACAGGCGGCAGTCACAGCAATTCACGTGTCGTAACATCTCTTAATCTCCAGAATTTGAAATTGCAAACTAGAAAATGAAGAATATCAGGTGGTAACCGTAGTTACAACATCGCTTCACATTCCAGGTTAAATTATAAGGGACTGTCCTGCTGTAAATAATGGGAAATAAAGCCAGAATACCCACCCTTTACTGTTCCCATCAGAGCCAACTATGTTCATAATTTAGATCCCAAAGAGGTAACCGTCAATGTATGTCATGGTATGGTATAGTATGGTATGGTATGGGACCAATGGTATTGCCTGGTGCAATTTAGGGACCAATGGTATTGCCTGGTGCAATGTATGTCATGGTAGGGTATGTCAATGTATGTCATGGTAGGGTATGTCAATGTAATCATGGTATGGTATGGTATAGTATGGGACCGATGGTATTGCCTGGTGCAATGTATGTCATGGTAGGGTATGTCAATGTATGTCATGGTAGGGTATGTCAGTGTATGTCATGGTAGGGTATGTCAATGTAATCATGGTATGGTATGGTATGTCAATGTATGTCATGTATGTCTGTAGAGTAAAACTTTATCAATATGACTTGTTTTTATTTTCCGTAACATGCCAATTTGATTAACCACTATAAACTAATCAATGTTCTGTTTGGAATATAGAGTGATGTGGATCTTTACCCCACACCATATGTTGCAATTTTATTCAATAGGAAATGGCGAATCGCATTTATCCGGTCCAAGGCTCCTTTACATAGTAAATGGTTTACTGAAGTAGCTAAACCTTCCCTGATTAAATACAAACTCCACTGACGCTGGGGACGTGTATTAGTTACTGTGTAGAATGTGTCCCCAGACCAATGCCATGACTAATGTGCATCATTTGGGGCATTGTAACAAAGAGGAGATTATTTTATGGATTAAACAGCGCAAACATTTCCACAATAATTTTAGAAACACTATAGGTACGAAGACCATATACCACATACACCCTGGATTAAAACCGTGCACTCACCAGAAAATAGTGTTACCAAGTGGGGTTCCCTGCTGCACCCAAACATGTAATGACGCTACAATGACACTGCTCTCCTGTGAGAGAACCATGTTAGCTTTGGCATAATAATGTTTGAAGTCAGCATTTCACTGTGAATAGCCTGTACCGGCTCATATTTCGGTTTAAGAAACACATAAATAAAGGTTGAAAAGGTACAATTCTGGAGAAATCCAGGAGGAAATCTTCAGACATGCTTGACATTTACTAAATGTTTCTTTGGAAAATATCTACAACACCTTGATTGGCTCAAAGTCATGCCTTTATTTTTTTAAACTTTATAATAAATTAAACACACAGAGTCACAACCCAAAGATAAATCCTCTTGGAAACATGATGTCTCAATCCTACGGCTAGAGAGGGTTTGCTCTTGTCTCAGCTGATCTCAGGTTTAGCAATTCACCTGTTTAGAAAACAATTAATTGGGCAATCTACACAACCAAAACAGCAGTATTAGCACGGACGTTACACAGAGGGGAGCAGGCTTTCTCAATCTGTGGTACGTGACACATTCAGGATTACAGCAGAACTTCTCTAATTTCAAAGACCTGTGGCAGAGGTGTCAACCTTATACAGGGGGGTATTTAATCTCTGTATGAGTGATAAGGTATGTACTAATAAATATATATTCCATACACCTGCAATTTAGGGACCGATGGTATTGCCTGGTGCTAATCAAGCCAATAATATAAAAATGCAAAAATATAGCGCTCTCAAACCTTTTTTACATTGTGATCTACAATGTCAGTTTCAGTTTTTGCTCCAAACTTTCCTCAGGACACCCAATGTCTCCGAGACCGATCACATGTCACCTGTTATGCTTACTGAAGTCTGAGCTGGCTCCCAAAAGGGCAGAGGTAAATAAACCCAAACACGTTCGACTGTTGGATTATGGGTATATAAGCATTTGTAAAGGAAACTTGCTTCAGAGTCGTCCATCAGACTCTACAAAAGGAACAGGAGTCTTTACAAAACATGTGTACAGCGGAAAATTCACTTTGGACGAAAATGTTGTTTGGTCTGTGTGACGGACCGCCTGGCATCCCGACTGGGTGCCTCCGCCAATCGGTGCTACTAGTGCTCACCGAGGACTCCAAGCCCTCCACCAGACACCATCAGCACTGTAGTTCCCATGTCCAGTGTTACAGCTTGCCTGGGAACTCGCTGTCCTCCACCCACCCTGGACCCGGATCCAGCTTCCAGTGGGTGAACCTCTCCTACTCCAGGAACAGCTCTTATAAGAGCTAGTGATTATAATCCCAGGGGAGTATAGCAATCCCCAGGGTAGATACAGCCGTTTCCCCCATACATGAGACGAGGCTCTATGTTGAGGGTAAGTAGGAACTCATTTTAATGGGACCACACTTGGCCTTATAGGACAATCCCCATGCAAGGGGTATACCCACATGGACCTTGCGGGGAACTACAGTATAAAGTCACAGACCAATAACAATCATGTTACAAGGCATGACACTCCCCTACATATCATACAATCCCTCCACTCTCCCTGGGAGATATTTGAGTCAAATACTGTAGTAACTCAATTATCTCCAGGCAGAAAAAACACATTTTTATAAAACCCCAAAAGTACCCCAAATCACATCAAATTCCCACATCCCCTGATAGCCCTGATCTGGGTGACCAACATATCCAAAAATCACCCAGATCAGTTCAGGGGTTCAGGAATTTTATGGAAGTCTTATTTCTGACCGACCGCACACAAAATTACTGTCCAAAAAGAGTTCCAGGAAATCAGGCTGTGTGGTCGGTCTACGTCGTGGATTCAAAGTAGAATATAAAAAAAACGAACGCATAAGAGTAGGCTCAGTTTATGTCTCTCGTTCGGGAGTTTATTCCCACCGAATGCTGTTCGATTCCCATTCGAATAGCCGAACATCAGTGGAAGGTATGTTGTCTGAATGCCAACCATGCAAAATATTTGGGCAGCGATTGGGACAAACCAAAAGCCTGTGACAATGAGCCAATCAGTGTACTGCAAAATATATATATATATATTAGGTTCACGGATCTAGCGAGAAGAAGCAGCCAATACATGGAAAAAACAGGACAAACAGTAAAAAAAAACTTTAAAAAAAAAAATCTATATTTTACTCTGCGAATAAATTTAACATTTAATCATTAAATCAACATTAATCACCTCAGTTTTTGGCAGCATGAACTTCAAAACAAATGAACAAGTTCTCCCACTAGATTCTTTAATTATACGCCTCCATGGTGCTGCCGAGTTACCCTCCAATCGGACTAACTTCGGACAAACTCCAATTTGGCTGAAAAAGAATGCTAGTCTAGTCCTTATGTTTTTTCAACAAACTAAAACAAATTTCAAGAAACATAAAAACAAGTCAAATAGAAAGAAAAGGGGATTAAAAAGACCAAACCATAAAAACAACAATAAAAAAAAGCCATACAGCTTTAACTAACTGAGCCGATTCAATGGCAACTGAAACAGAACCCAGCATACCCAGATCAGGTTATTCAATAAACGTCAAGCGGTGGAGAATGGGCAAGAAATAGTAAATATTGTATAAAATACAAAACATCTCTGAACATTTTTTATAGCACTAGCATTTCTCTAAGGCCAGCACTGGCATTCTTTCACCTCTAAAAATAAACATAACGTTCAGGTTGATGTTTGCACAAACCCCAAAAAGCAGTAAAAATGATGACAAATTGTGAAGCTGGCAGTAGAAATGACAATACATTCCTGCTGTGCACTCACGCCCTGCTCTACTGATAGAAAGGCTCTCCTTACCACACCCTATAGGGCTTATCTCCTTCCATGGGTGAGCAGCGCTCACGGCACCTTACAGAGCAGCATAGCTTTCCATGGCACAGATAAGGGGATCATATCCATTTAACCCCACACTTCACTGAATGATAGATACTTTACACGGACATTAAATTAATGATCTGTGTGACAAAAGGACACACACTTTCTCAAACTGAGGAAGAAATCATGTTCAGATAATATGGAGCCCGACAGGCTGCCATTACAGAGAGGGGCATGGCAGGGTCATAACAGTAAGGGTCACGGCAGTATCATAACGGTAAGGGATGCTCGGGGTCGTTACAGGGAGTATCGCGCGGTGTCGTTAAAGTAAGGGGTGCGCGGTACATTAAGGGACATACAGTGTCATTAAAGTAAAGGGACATGCTGTAAAGTAAGGGACGCGCAATGTCTTTACATTAAGGGGTACACAGTGTTGTTAGAGTGAGGGTCGCGCGGTGTCATTACAGTAAGGGACGCACGGTAAGGTATGGGTACCACGGTATCATAGCAAGGGACATGCAGTACAGTAAGGACCGCACATTACAGTAACGGGCATACAGTGTCATTACAGTGAGAGTCACGCAATGTTACAGTGAGCGTCGCGGCGGCGTCCTTACAGGGAGCGCCGCACGGTGTCGTTACAGTAAGGGGCACAAAGTAACATTATAGTGAAGGTCATGCGGTGTCCTTATAGTGGGCGTCACGCGGTGTCATTAGAGTGGGCGTCACGCGGTGTCGATACAGTCAGGGTCACGTGGTGTTGTTACAGAAAGGATCACGGTGGTGTATAAATCTGCACCCTGAGAGTTTTTAGTTACAGCACTGTACCCCCTAACCCTCGCAGATAACGGATGTCTCTTGGTGATACCAAATCTGTCCCTGTTGTATATGGAAATATATCTTAGGGAATAGAAACTGGGTAAAATGTGCCATTATTAACGAATGTAATAACGTTTTAAAGGAAGTGAGCTGTCACATGATACTGACACATTACACGTGCACTGTGATTCCCAGTAAACGGACAGGTTAATCCACGCATGATACAGTAATCTGGGCAATGAACACAAAGTAATTACTGGTGAGTGTCTGACCTCTATCACACAGGTGGAAATTATTGGTGTGTGAAAACCGATCATTATATTAAAATTCTGAGGAATAAAAGCTGGTTCTTGTAAATCATTGTCCTGTCATTATGTAAGAATGCTTATACTGAATAACCGTGTGCAATTTGAGACACAAAGCTATATTGTGTAACACAAGAGCTCACAATCCAGCTCTTAAAGTGGAAGTAGACAGACTCCACAAAACACTGACATCACAGATACTTTGTCTGCGACAATTGATCCAAACAGGCTCTGGCTATGTACGTACAGACATCTTTTACATCTGCACACGGAGCATAAAGATTCAAGGAACTGAGTGATCTGGCAAACATGGCGGCCTCCTGGTAACAGGATTTTACTTGTGGTGAATAGGAAAGTGCTAATCTTTGAGGCATATGAGAGCTTTTATTTACACCTCGTTGCTGTGAACATTAAATAACGGTGGATAAGGTGGTAGCATTTTTAGTATACATAGACATTGATAGTGCTGGTACTGCGACAGCCACAAAACAAAAATAGTGACTTTGGAATTAAATGAATGTTACAGGAGATTTTCTCACCGTTTTTTACCATGTACCACTTTAGAAGCCTTGGCACACTGGTTTATGTACTGAAAACAGTACCTGGGTGGGTGCAAGCTTGTGTCAAGCATTGAACCTGACAAACAGTTGTGGCCAGCCTCTCTCCAGCCAGGAAAGCAGAGTCTGCTCCGGTTATTGTGAAACTTGGCAAATCTTCGGGAGGTGCTGCTCAATGAATTAAAGGGGATTAGATGTCTTGTCACTGCAATCATCTGAAACTGGGGTGAACGAGGAACTCCCAAACTCACAGTCACGTTTATTCTATCAAAACACATGGTTTGCATAATACGCATTATCACTGCGCCCTTTCCCACAGGCTAATCCTTGCGATTGGGGTTAAAAATGTACTTAACTCTGTGGAATCCGTTGATTGGCCCTTTCAAATCTTCACAGAATGCAAACAAGACGGCATTTTTAACATTAATCCGGTGTTGATGGAATCTGTAAATGCAAATACCCCTATTATGAAGCCATTCTATTGCAATGCTGGTATTATCCTTCAAAGTCACAAACACAAACCAGGGACACAAACAGGGCTTTGCGGAAATCTCCTGACCTTTAACACACCATCTTGTAGGTAAATATGAGAAAACTGTGCGTGTTGAGTACTGTACTTTTATCTATACTGCACAATGCATGGTATGGGGGTGCCCAGAGCACCCTAAAACACCAGAGATATTAAGCAAGACATAAAAGTAGCTGACAGTCAAGCATTAATACATACAAACCAATTCTGGAGGTTGTTACATTGCTATCCAGGACTAGCGATATCGGAGTCTTCCTAAGCTGGTACTGGCCCTGTTACACAGTTCCAGATATTTGGGTAGAAGGCTGTAGCTCACGGGGTCAGGCTAGGCCAGAGTGAGCCTTGACAGGGGTAGGGCTAAGCTGTTAGATGTCTGTCATTGTGAGGGGGATGAGGCATAGGTAGTGGTCATTAAGGGAGTCAGTGGCCATTTTAGTTTTAGTAAAGTACTTGTGAAGTTGTCCCACCCTTGCTACCTTTAGGCTGTGATTTTGTTTTGCCACTGTCAGGACGGCAGGAGCTTGCCTGGTAGTCAAACAATTCAGGTCTGGTTTAATCATTGGTGGCAATGAGCAGTAGCAGGTTCCTGGTCGGGCATGGTACTGGGAACCTCAGGCACAGGCCAGGTACCTTGGTATGCCCAAACTGTTTTTTACATGGGCACACTTTCAAACACATGCCCCTCCGCTCATTGGTCTATGAGTGGTATAAAGAAACCACTGGAGTCAGAGGACACCTGTATAGCCTCGGAAGAAGGCGCGTTTCTCAGCGCGTTTCTCAGGCAGTCAGGACAGATAAACGCTCGTGCGCCATCGTTGTTATTAGCTAGTCAGTTAGAATTGGATTCATTTTCTCCACCGCAGCAAGCGAAAAGTGTGCTCTACTTGGGGATTTAATCTGGGATGCAAGGGATGGTGTAAGGGATGGTGTAAGGGTTGGTTTAAGTTGGTGATTCTCTTTCTATCCTCCCCCCTCTCTCAACATACACCTATATTTTTCTTGCAGAATTTAGTTGCAGCTATTTGCTTACAAGCTATACACTGTATACCAGTAAATGGATATAAGCTGTATCAACTTTTTACCAATACAACCCAAGCTGTACTAGCAATTTTTCTACCTTATACTTTGTAGCTTTTTGCAGTAGTATCCCTACTCAGTTATTACCTAACACTCCTTTCCCATTATGTAACAAATTGTTACACTTTGTGACTCTGTTAGACCTTCCAAGTCTTTACTCAGAGACCTCAAGGCAGTGTGATACACGAGTATAGATGGTAATCTCCCCTTCTTTATAGCTACCAGTAGTTTATAACAACGATTCCAGCAGCCGTAATGGGATTTATCTCTATTTGAAGATACTTTCTATGCTTATTATAAGACATCTTCTAGATCTTTTTATGTCCCATTTAGGAGCATATATCCTATCTCTCCTTACTCAGTTACTAATATTATTATCTTATTTCGTTTTTTCTATTTTTGAGGATTTCTCTATTTTATTCTAGTGCTATTAAAAGCTAAGTTTTAGTATATACATACCCACTAGGGGGCATCCAATCAGACCCACTAGGGGGCATCCAATCAGACCCACTAGGGGGCATCCAATCAGACCCACTAGGCCTGTTTTTCTCTTCTTTACATGGGCACCTTTCATACCTCAGCAAGCTGGTGTTGCTGTTTTGGACCATTGTCCATGTTAACGCACCAATTTCAGCTACAAGGTTTTCGGGACAAAGTTTTTAATAAATCGGCTGTGGCCTTTATACCCATTCTGGTGTCGTGTTTTATTTACTATATTAAGTTTAGCCCAAACAATGAAGGTACAGCGGTCATGGATAGCCTAATGTGGGGAAACTCCAAATGTTCGCAGACCAGCTGGACTGGACATTCTCTGCAGGGAAGAAACACCTAGCCAGGACATCAAACAAAACCAGGTCAGGTAGGCTCTCCCACTGCAGAAGGATTCAAAGAATCGTACAATACATGTGTATTCATGTATCGTACGATTATGGAACCTTAAAGGCAGTGTCATCTTAACAGCATTATGGGCCGAAAGCAGTGCACTGGGGCCCTGCCTACACAACAACTCACAGGAAATTGATCAAATTAAGCTATATTATTGGTACCTTCCACAAATGCAATTCATACATACACACAGACTACTGAATACACGCACACACAGACTGCTGAAATATACGCACACACAGACTGCGGAGTACATACAAACAGACTGATGAATACATACACGTTGATGAATACACACACACACACACTGCTGAATACACCCACACCCACTGCTGAATACACGCAGACTGCAGTGAGGAGAGTGGTGTATGTGTCTGTGTGTGAGAGGTGCAGTGTATTTTTGATGGGTGCTGTGTGTGAAGGGTGCTGTGTGTGAGTGGCGCTGTGTGTGTGAGAGGGTGCAGTGTCTGTGTATGTGAGGGGTGTGTGTGTGAGGGATGCTGTGTGTGTGGGTGCAGTGTGTGTGTGTGTGTGTGGGATGCTATGTGTGAGGAGTGCTTTGTGTGTGA